GACACTGATCAGCCCGCCTCCACCAGCGACGCCGAGCAGTCCCTGAATCTCCGCTCTCCTCCACCTCAGAGCACTTCAGAGCACCTCACCGTACCGCTGATCTTAGCTCCGTCGCCGTCCAGCCCCTGTTCCTCCTCCAATTGAATAGGTCCTCTGCCCCTGTTCCTCCTCCAGTTGAACAGGCCGCCGCCCTGTTCCTCTTCCACAAGCCCGCCGTCCGCTCGCGTCCTTCTGTCATCGCTGTTCGTCGCCACCCAGTTTGCCGTCTTCTGTCAATTCATTCGACGCCGTCGTACACGCCATTGTCCAGCTCGCCTCAGATCTCTGCCAGCCTGCAGCACCATCATTCAGAGGTTTGTTAGTGAATCTTCATTAAGGCAATTCTAATATCATCGATTCTACGTCTTTCTAATTAATCTGGAAATTGCTGCAATCGCTTTTAGACTGGTTCATCTTGCGTGCTATCAATATTGTTGGCTGTCCACTAAATTTGTGAGCATGTGAATCTGTTCTACCTTTATTGGTGCTAGATCTCGATTTTAAATTAGAACTTTTCCAAATCTAGCTTGATTAATTATCTTGTTGCAATCTTACGGCTCAATATTATCAGCATGAATTTTGCTGTCGATATAATTATCACAAGTTAAATAATTGATGTCTGATTTGTAACAAGCCGTGGGATAACATATTGAACATTGTGAACTGATTTCCTTGTTGATTTCTCATTTTCCACCATATTTCACATTATCATCTGGCATCATGTTAGGTGTTAGCATTGATTTTGCATGTTGATAGATTGCATTTAGGCGAAAGTTAGCAATTCACTGCATCGTGATTATTAAGATCATCTAGATTGCATTTAGATACTAATCTGTTGCATGCGCACTCGTAGTGGAACACAATATTCTCCCCCAGATCCTAATTCCGAGATGGATCCTAACCTTGTAAGCCTCACGAAAGCCATAGAAGCCTTAACTGCGCGATTCGACAGTGTGGAACAAGATTTGAGAGAGACGAGGGAACGTTTGGACCGAGTGACGGATATGCCCCGTGAACGTGATGAAGAAGGCGGATCTCGAACCCAACATTTTCCCCATCAATCTCATGAATACATAGACCCTTACACCAATCGTTTTGGAAATCGCCCACCTAGGGACAATTCATCCTTTGACCTATATGAGATGCATCTGAAATATGTGAAACTAGAGGCACCCACTTTCGAAGGCTAGTTGGATCCTCAGGTTTTTATCGATTGGATGTCGGACATGGACCACTATTTTGATTAGTATAAAATGTCCGATGAGAGGCGAATTCGATTCGCCAAAATGAAGCTAGTGGTTCAAGCCAGGCAATATTGGTCTAACATTGAGAAGCTGATGATTCTTAGGCGGCAAGAACCCATACAGACTTGGGATGAGATGAAATTGAAACTCCAAGAAAAATATTTGCCTGTGTCGTACAAACAACGCTTGCTCAATCAATGGCAGCGCTTGACGCAAGGCAATCGGCCAGTATCGGAGTACATCACCAAATTTGATGAATTTCTGGTTAGGTGTGGCGAGAATGAGTCTGACACTGTAGTCTTATCTAGATTTCGCTCAGGACTTAGGGAAGATCTTAGGCATGAACTCTTTGTGCGAGACATCTCCACTTTAGAGCAAGCCTATCAGCTTGTCCAAGATTTAGATCGATCATAAGGTTCTCCTTTCACTAGACGCACAGACTATGGGAATAACACCAATAAGGCCACCACTGTTAAGTCCTCGCTTAATCAGCCTCATTCCCAAACTGGCCCTAGTACCTCCACACAGAAGCCAGATGATAAAGGCAAGGGGGTTTACAGCGAGTCATCTAAATCAGCTCAATCTACTCGATGTTTTAGGTGTCAAGGATTTGGTCATATTGCTGCCCAGTGTCCGAGTAAGACAAGAACTTTAATTGTTGAGACCCGATCGGACAGTGATCAGGATGATTTAGAAGAGATTGTCCACAACCCTGATGAAGATGTTTGGGAGGATGAATCTGTCGAGGCAATCTTAGGATGTCTCTTGAACGTGCCCACACCCTCGATCAACAAAGTGGATGAATTTTCCCGTCGACTTAGTGTTGTGAGGTGCGCATTAGCTCAACCTAAGGATAGTGACGACTGGCGTAAATCTACAATTTTTCACAACCACCAAGATCAATAACAAGAGTTGTCGAGTCATAATTGACAGTGGGAGTTGTGTTAACGCCGTTGCTTCCAACATGGTGACTGTACTCGGATTGAATACTGTTCCCCATCCTCAACCGTATAAAGTATCTTGGGTGAATACTGCATCCATCGAGGTTAAAGAACGATGTCTTGTCCCGATCCAATTTGCTACTTATTCGGACAAGATTTGGTGTGACATTGTTTCCATGGATGTTGGCCACATCATTTTAGGTAGACCCTGGTTATATGATCTAGACGTTACTATTTATGGACGATCAAACACTCATTCATTCGTCCATGATGGAAAGAGGATCAAATTAGTTCCATCGTGACCTGTCCCTCCATCTGCTCCTAAACAGGCTGATTCCTCCAACAACCAAAGAGGACTAAATTTGATCAACTCTAAGTCTCTGGACAAGAAGGTCGCTAAAGGGTCTACCATTGTTGCCCTTGTTGCTAGGGAGATTACCGAGAACTCCCAAGAGCAAATTCCTTCTGCAGTAACTCCAATATTAAAGGAATTTGCCGATGTCTTCCCGGGAGAACTCTCGGACGCTCTCCCCCCGATGCGTGACATCCAACACGCTATAGATTTTGTTCCAGGATCTACTCTTCCCAACTTGCCTCATTACAGAATGAATCCAACGGAGCATGTCGAACTCAAGAGGCAGGTTGAAGAACTGTTGACTAAGGGGTTTATTAAAGAGAGTTTGAGTCCGTGCGCTGTGCCGGCATTACTAACCCCTAAGAAAGACGGTTCATGGAGAATGTGTGTTGATAGTCGAGCCATCAACAAAATCACCGTGAAATATCGGTTTCCTATCCCCAGACTGGATGATATGTTAGATATGATGTCTGCAGTCACTATATTTTCCAAAATTGATTTGAAGAGTAGCTACCATCAAATTAGGATTCGTCTAGGGGATGAGTGGAAGACAGCTTTCAAGACGAAAGATGGTCTGTACGAGTGGATGATTACGCCTTTTGGGTTAACAAATGCTCCCAACACCTTTATGCGAGTTATGACTCAGGTACTACGACATTTTATAGGAAAGTTTTTGGTCGTATATTTTGATGATATCTTAATTTATAGCAAGTCGCTGGAGCATCATATTGACCATCTTAATCAAGTCTGTCTCATTTTAAGGAAAGATAAGCTATTTGCAAATCCCAAGAAATGTGTTTTCATGACTGACCAAGTTATATTTTTGGGATTTGTTGTATCTTCTCAAGGAGTTTTCGCTGATCCTCAAAAGGTTCAAGCAATTATAGAGTGGCCCGAGCCCCGAGTATCCGCGATGTAAGAAGTTTTCATGGGCTCGTAACTTTCTACAGGCGATTTATCAAGGAGTTTAGTGCTATTATGACCCCAATTACAGATTGTCTAAAAAGAGAGGAATTTCAATGGTCCGAAGAAGCTGCCACGATTTTCAAAGAAATGAAGCAGAGGATGACCGATGCACCTGTTATGAGACTTCCTGATTTCTCTAAGGTGTTTGAGGTCGTGTGTGACTCCTCGGGCATTGGTATAGGTGGAGTATTGAGTCAGGAAAAGTACCCAATTGCCTACTTTAGTGAAAAACTTAGTGGTGCTAAACTGAACTACTCTACCTACGATAAGGAGTTCTATGCGGTTGTGCAATCATTACGCCATTGGCGACATTATCTTTTACCGCAGGAATTCGTTATTTATTCGGACCATGAAGCCCTTCGGTATCTTAACTCTCAGAAGAAATTAAATGCCAGACTTGCTCGATGGGTTGAATTTCTACAAGACTACACTTATACCCTTAAACACATGGCTGGAGTTGAGAACAAGGTGGCTGATGCACTTAGTCGCCGAGTTTGTCTTCTTAACCGAATGAGTGCGGAGGTAGTGGGTTTCGAAAGAATCAAAGGGGAGTTTGAATCATGTCCCGACTTTGGAGAGATTTTTATTTCTTTAAAGGGAGCGACTCCCGAGATAGATGGCTTTCTGCTCCAAGATGGTTATTTGTTTCGATTTCGTAAGTTATGCATCCCCCGTATTTCTTTGAGAGATTATCTTGTTTGGGAATTGCATGCAGGAGGTTTTGTTGGTCATTTTGGTCGTGAAAAGACTATAGAGGCTGTAGAAACTTTATTTTACTGGCCAAGCCTTAAAAGAGATATTGCGAAGTTAATAGGGCAGTGTCGCACTTGCCAATTAGCTAAGCAATGTAAACAAAATACTGGCCTGTACACACCCCTCCCTGTTCCAGATCGTCCCTGGCAGGATGTGAGTATGGATTTCGTGTTGGGACTTCCTAACAGTGTTACAAAAACCATCCTGGGCGTCCGCCTAGGCGCCCGCCTAGGCGGAGGCGATGCCCAGGGCGTTTAAATGAGCCTTGAGCGGCCACCTTTAGGCGCTGGGAGCGGCTATGCGGCCGCCCAAAGCTAAGCGGCCCGCTCCACTTAAAAAAAAAACGCTTAAAGGCCCAGACCCCAAACCCAAAACCCAAAACCCAAACCCAAAAACCAAAAACCAAAAACCCAAAACCAAACCCAAAACCGACGTAACCCTAATTCTCATTTCTCACTCACCCGACGCCGCAAGAAATTTCCATCGACCGAGCTCATCTTCAACCTCGTCGAACTGTCTTCATCTTCGTCGAAGCTCGAGCTCGTCTTCAACCTCGTCTTCGATCTTCAACATCCGAGCTTCAACCTTGTTTCGAACTCGTCGAAGCTTCGTCTTCAACCTCCGAGCTTCAACCTCGTCTTCGAGCTCGTCGGAGCTTCGTCTTCAACCTCCGAGCTTTGTCTTCAACCTCTGAGCTCGTCTTCAACCTCCGATCTGTTCCTCGTCGAAGCTCGAACTCGTCGAAGCCTCTCGATTCTCGAAGCCTTTGGGAGTCTGCTTCATCCCTATAACAAGGTAAAGGATTTAATGTTATTTTCTTATTTTATTTATCATTTTACTATTTCAGACTTCAGTGATGACCTTTGATTTCAAGTTTTTTGGTTTAAAGGTTAACAACTTAACATTAATATGGTTTTGGTGTTTTTAGATCATCCGTGTAATTAAGATGAACAGAACAGACATTAAACAATGGTGTAAATGGGCAAATCAAGAAAGATTAATAACTTGAAACTTATGATGTGTTTGATGGAAAGGCATAATGTAAATGAGTCTGT